AGATTAATTAAGAGCAGATGAGGCCAGGTTATTTTGACTACAGCAAGGCAGACTGGAAGAAATTTTCAGAGAAGTGTGATCAGGCCCTTGAGGGGGAAGGAACAATAGATGAGTGGATTAATAGTCTTTGTGAAATATTATTGCATAAAGCATATGAGTGTATCCCTATCAAGAAAAAACCCCTGCAAAAGGAAGTGTCCCGTGGTGGAATAAAGAGTGTGACAAGGCAGTTAGAGGTAGGAATCGGGCATATAGAGCACTGACAAAGGGCCCAACAGAGAGTAATATGATAGAGTATAAAAGGTTGAGAGCTAAGGCAAGAAGAGTGATTAAGTCTGCAAAAAAGGAGTGCTGGAGCAAGTACTGTGGAGGGTTAGGGGTAGACACTTCAGTGGGAGAAGTATGGGCAGCAGTTCACCGAATGTCAGGGGTAGTGAGGCATCAGTGTTAGAGGAGGAAGGGGTGGTTGCTATAAGTGATGTAGAGAAGGCAAAGATGAGTGAAAATAAAGTGCAACACACACCGCCGCCATACGCCGCGCGTCAAAACGCCCGCCTCCATTATATTCTATGAACCAACCCACACTGGCGCCCGCCGGGGTCCATGTCATTGGTTCGACAACCCATTGGTTCGACATCCTATTAGTCCGACTGTCCGCGGTGCTGAGCGGCTCGTATGGTGCACCGCGACCGGCTTGAGGCGGAGCAGGCTCACGGCTTATGTGTTTGTCACTTTCTTTTTCATTTTAACCCACACCATGATCTTTTCCTGACCCTAACCAAGTGTTTTTTGTGCCTAAACCCAACCAGACCTTAACCACAGGGCATCATGATGATTTCGGAACGGACTTCGGAAGAATGAGTTTAATATGGTCGGAACATTGGGATGTCGAACCAATGGGCAGTTCCCCGCCGGGCCGACGCGACGCGCCGCGCCGCTCTGCTTAAGCCCACTGCCCTGTCCAGCGCGGCCGGCGCTCTTGGCGGCACTGCGAGAAAAGCCTTTTATGTACGTCCGGGCCGCCGTAGTATCAACTCCGGTTGTTTCAAATTTTTAATAAGACGACTTTGATAAGAAACTCACCCGTGAAATCAAAGTTGTTGTTTCCTCAAAGTTTTTCCTCTTCTTCTTCCGTTACTAGCAGTTGGCAACCGTTGGCAACTAGTGTAGGTACAGCCACCTAGCGGGCTGGGGTGGGAAATACACGTCGACGGTGCCGCTGCGCGCCGCTGATTTCACGGGTGAGTTTAATTAATTAATTTAATTTTTTAAATTTAATTTAATTTTTTAATTTTATATACTTTATTAATCCCCGAGGGGAAATTCAATTTTTCGCTCTGTTTGTCAATTACACACAGGTCCGAGCACACACATGCACAAACTGGACCTATACATGCATTAAGTGGAGAGATGTCAGAGTGGGCTGCCCTTGACAGGCGCTCAGAGCGGCAAAAAAAACAAACAAAAAACGAATCCTATCTGTTGCCTCTTTAATGACATTTTTAAAGATATTGGGCCTGGGTTTGGTCTCTCTCTGTTCGCAGAAGATGGAGCAGTGTGGAAAAGCAGGGGAACATAAAACACATAATTGAGAAAATGCAAGGAGCGATAAATAAAATAGTTGACTGGGGAAGCAGATGGGGCTTTAAGATATCAGTAGAAAAAACAAATTATGTTGTGTTTGGTAATAAGAAAACTGAATGTCAAGGTTTATCTATGTATGGACAGGCAACTGAGAGGGTAAAAGTATTTAAATTCTTGGCAGAACATTTTGATGAAAGGCTCACATGGGGAAAACATATTGACAGTACTGTAGGTAAATGTGAAAAGGTTATTAATGTCATGAGGTCTCTCTCTGGAAGTACTTGGGGCGCTGGCCAAGACACACAAATACTAATATATAGAGCAATGGTAAGATCAAATTGGCAATGCAGTACATAAGTAAACTAAGGGGATGTAAAGGGGAGGTGGGGGTTGCCCCTATAATGCACTAGCCAGTTGTACTGCCTTGGTTATTACCATCAACGGAGATAGACCTCAGCATATTGGAATCAATCAAAACAAACGGAAGCTTATAGTGACCTGGTGGCAAACGGATTAGAAAGCTCCTGGCAACATCATCTTCAAAATTTACACAGACGGGTCCCAAGATTCAGAAACAGGGAAGTCAGGTTTTGCCTTTTGTATTCCAAGTCTGGGCATAGTAGTGAGCAGGCGACTGTCGGAGGGGGTTTCAGTCTTCACAACAGAGCTGCTGGCCATAATATGGTCATTGGAGTGGGTGGAGGAGGTGCAGCCAGGGCAGGTTGTTATATGATCAGACTCTGCTGCTGTTTTAATGACTTTGGGGGAAGGCAAGCTGGGAGTCCGGTCGGACCTGGTGGTGAACTGTTGGTACAGCTATATAAAATTGAGAAGGCAGGAGGGGAGGTTGCGTTTCTCTGGGTGCCAGCCCATGTGGGGGTGAAGGGGAACGAGATGGCAGATGGGGCAGCTAAAAGGGCATTGAGGAGGGAGGTGGATATGAAGGTGGCCATAGGAGTGAATGAGTATAGGTCCATTATCAGAAGAAGAATAACAGCAGAGTGGCAAGAGCAGTGGGAAAGGAAAAAAAGGGGAGAGATTACTTTAGTATTCAGAACAATGTTAAAAAGGGGCAGAACCACTTGGGGTCAGAGGGGAGGCATACGGCAACCATGACAAGGCTGAGACTGGGGCACTGTCGGCTGGCCTGGAACCTGTTAAAGATTGGAAAACACAAAGACGGACTCTGTGAAGCATGCAAGAAACAACAAACTGTGAAGCATGTCCTCATGGAGTGCAGCCAGTACACAGAAGTGCGAAAGAGGATGTATGAAGCAGTGTCAGGCCAGCCTGCAAGGGGTGTTACATTGAAGAGCCTTCTGAATCCCACCGAAAACCAGCCAAGGGCTGTGAAAGCAGTCCTTGAGTTCATCGCCGCTACAGGATTACACCTGTGGAGATGAAATTAAGTGACTCGACCTGTGGGAGGCAGCAATGTGCCGCAAGGCATCTAGACTGCCGGAAACTACAAGAAGAAGAAGAAGAAGAAAATGTCTGCGACTACAGGAGTAGTTGATGTAAACGATGCTCTGTAATCTTAAAACAGAAAATCTAGAAACACTGAAAATACTATCCAAAAATTCACCATCTCAGAGACCGAAATCACCTGTCGGTATCTCTAGGCCTATGTGAACTTAGTACAGAATATTTTTTGCTATTTAGTTGGATGATGATGAAACCCCTCTAAATATGTCACATAAAACACTTTAAAGTTACACCAGACTGTTTCTGCTGCTGAAGTAAAGAGTGGAAAAGTAGTTGATGATTAATGAGGTCTATCTGACCGATGTGTTGCATTTATAATAACAGGAGCCAATTAACAGCGTGTGGATTATATTAGTAATAAAATATTATTTGTTTTATCCTAGTTCTCATCACACAGGTGTCTCATGTTATGTTGAGCTGCAGTGAAGGAATCAGAGTGTAAAATAGCAACACTATCACTGTGGACTAAAATAAACTTGGCAGAAATGGAAATACTGGTAGAATCATGTGAACAATGAAATGATTCATCTGACCTATAACAACATATAGACTTTGTTCTTCAGTGACCTGATTGGTCAGAGGTCGGAAGTTACCTCGCTAACTCCAAAACTGGTTAAACACTGAATAAAGCAGTTTCACATTACAAATTAGTGCTGTTGTGACAAAAACTGCAAGTTACATTCTAATAACATACATCAATTTATTTACAGCCCAAAAAGTCACTGCAGAAAAAAACAAGTCCAAACTGGTAGAAAAAGATTTCTGCACACTTACATCTCTGCAGTGTTTCACTTTATTGTTGAGCTTTCAGTCCAGTAGATCTCCATCAGAGCATACATGAGGCAACAGTGGGCTGGCAGGTAAAGTAACCAGTAACCAGTAACCAGTCTCAGGCCAATCACTGGCAGTATGCAACACACCTGTGCACAACCCTGCTGATAGAAGCTCCAAAAAAGCATTTCAAAGCATTAGAGCCTTGCTGCTTCAAGAAGACAATAAAATGTTTATATCACGACACCAACAGCTCAGTTTCCTCACCAGGTGGCACCTCTCCTCGTGTCTCAATCAACAGAGGTATAAAACAAGGCTGTCCAATCTCACCATCACTTTTCTTATTGCAGCAGAGATGCTTTCAGTTCTTGTTAAAAAAGTGTCTGTAGGAGCGATATAGTTGTAAATCAGCTGGCAGATGACACAACTTTATTATTAAAAAATGTGGAGCAGGTTCCAAAGGCCATCGAGACCATTGATCTCTTTTCTAGAGCATCTGGTCTGAAACTGAATTTGACCAAAAGTGAACTATCAGCCATACATGACTGCCATCTTGCGGCAGCATACGGTACTCCCATCAAGTCGACTGTCAGATACCTGAGTGTGCACATTACAACAGACAATTAACTGAGAGGCCGTTTACACGTACACAGTGATTTTGATAAACGGAGACATCTTCCTTCGTTTGTGCCCTTTGTTTACACGCAAACGGAGATTTCTCCTCAGAAAACGAGTCTTTCTAAAAGCTCCGGCCAGAGTGGAGATTTTGGAAAACTCCGGTTGCGCGTTTGCATGTAAACTGAGATAAACGGAGATAAACGGAGTTATAGGCAGTCGACGTCACAGTATGCACCGGAACTTGCGCCCATGTCAAAAGTGCGACCTATGTTGCTATGGTGACAATGGATACATGGAAGGCTTCAGCTTCTCATTACACTGCCACCTACAGGTTTGGCATGCTCTTGTGTATATATACACGGGTAAGTGTAAACGAAGATCTTTTTGAAAACGGAGATGGTGAAATGTCCGTTTATGAAAATAGCCGGCAACGTGTAAACGGCCTCTGAGTGAATCCTTGAATGTCTGAAACAAGATGAATGAATGCAAATCAAGATCAGGCAGCTGGCTGAACAGAGAGCTTTCTCTCCATGGTCATATTTACATAACAAAGATGAATAAGTTAATAAGTGCAATTTACTACAATACAGATAAAACAACAGCATAAAATATCATATAAAATAAACAAACACATGTTCATCTTTTCTAATTGTCATTTTTGCAATTAAAAATACAACTTCAACGTTACCACTTAAAAAAAACCTCAGGGTGTGTTTGCACCTCTACCCTGCCTTAACAATAATATCTATTTAAAACAGCTCACCAGGCGAGCATGTGCGCAGGAGTGTTCACAGATGAAGAATGAGACACACACACACATACACACACACACACCTGTGCTCCATGAGCCTCTGAACAGCTCAGGTGCTCTCACCTTGACTGGCCAAATTAAATGGTAGGCTAAATGGACTGCACTTGTACTGCTATTCAGTTTTTAATACACTCACACAGCCATCGGGAGGAATTTGAGGTTCAGTATCTTGCTCAAGGACATTTCAACATGCAGACTGGAGGAGGAGGCGTGCACCGGTCGTGTTGTCGCTAACTGTTGCCATGGTTCCGTTGTGTTTGGGTTTTTGAAGCGTCCTGCTGAGATAGCGTGTGGTCTCTCTCTACGGCAAAAGTACAGTGGCAAAAGGCAAAGCGGCCCCGGAGAGCTTTGCGTTTACAATGCGCAGATAAAACGGACCGCACTCACACCACCTCCGGCTCGCTTCAGAGGGGTTCGCGCAAAACAAAATGCCGAGTCACTGCTCTGCGTCCACTGAGAGGGCTGAAAAGGACACTGTCGCATCACAAAGAAGCCAACCCTGATTGGCTGTTATGTGTGCTTTCTCAGTGCTGATTGGCTCAAAGATAGAACCTGACGGAACCAGGGTAGAGTTTGATTTGAGATACAGAACCTTTTTGTTTTATAAATAAAAAAGTCCAAAACTGCATAGAACTTCAAAAAAAAAAACAACAACAACACGCACACAGTGTTAATAAGTTGTCACAGAATAATAATGTATGAAAACTATATTTTGACAAACGTCAGATGAACCTTATGATTCCAAAGTGACGTAATGACAATGTAGCCAAAAGGGGGCGGGGTGACGGAATTTGTTCTGTGATGTCACAAAGGCACCTCACATCAAAGCTTCAAAAGTTTGTAAGTACAACCCAATCTCCATAATATTTTCTGAAATCAACCGCGTTAGTTCAAATCTTCACCGCGCCGTCGCACCATACACACGAGCGAAATTTCGTCAGTCAAAATGAATAGGGCAAGAAACACCGATCCTCAAGCAAGTAGGATTGCTCAACTACAGGAGCAACTGGAAGTCGCCATTAACCGTGAGAAAAGTTTAATGGAGCAAAACAAACAGCATCAGAAAAGGATTGTTTCTCTCGCTTCAGTGGAGCACGATATTGCTCAGCTACAAGCTATTATCAGAGGGCAAAGCGCTGAGCTGGACGTATTGCATAAAGAGCTCCAGATATCTCAATCTGCCCATACACAGTGGGGTTCTGAAAAGAATGAGCTTGAAAAACAAATTGTGGACTTGAAAGGGATCTTGGCTGACTCTGAAAAACAACTGTCGGCTGAAAAGATCCTCAGAGAACACAAGGAAAATGAACTGAGGAGGTTTCGTAACATTGAGACGGACAACAAGAAACTGACCTCGGAAGTGCAGGCACTGCAGCACGATGTAGCAGTGTTGACGGGGCAAAACATGTCTGTCTCCAAAAGACTTGAACAGCAGAAACAACTGCTAATTGAGAAGGACACCGAACGGGACAAGATGACGGAGAAGTATAAGAAACTGAAAGCTCGATGTAATTCATACAATGAAGAGGTAAAAAAACTGCTTCATTGTCAAGAATTTGTTGATAAAGCGAAACAAAAATCGGAAGAATTGAGAAAGGAAATTGAAATTCAGAAAGACCAAAATCAAATTCACCAGGATAACATAAGTTGCTTGAAAAGGCAAATTAAAAACCTGGTAAGCGAAAGAAATGAGCTTAAATCAGTACAAATAGAAATGAGCTGCCAGATGGATGAGATGAGGGTAGTTATAGATGCTCAAAATTTAGAAATTGAGTTGCACAAAAGTGAAGCATTTAAACAGAGTAGCTTAATATCAAAGCTTCAAAGTGACGCAAACATCGACAAGAAAGTCAAAAGAAAACTTGAAAAGAATGCCTATGAAACAATGCAATGCATCAAGGACCAGGACCAGGAAATAAATGATCTCAAAACTGAGATTAGAGATAAAAGGAACGAGCAGACTGAGATGAAAATCCAGATGACCGTTCTCAAGACTGAGAAAGACCACACCCTTGAGAATCTGTTCAGGGCCCAGAGATAAATTGATCTGCTGACTACAAGAGTTGAAAAACAGCAGCAGGAGATCCAAGCCAGGACTTTGGATCAGAAAAAAATGGGCAGAGAGCTGGACCAGGTCAAGAGGGATTGTGACTCTGTGCGCAACCAGCTGATAGAGGTCAGTAGGAAACTGGAGAACACACAGGTGTTGCAGGACAGATATAAAGACAATGTGAAACGGGACCTTAAGCTGGAGGAGGAGAAATACAGGGTGATCCTGACAGAGAAGGGGAGGTTAGAAAGAGAGCTGCAGCTCTCTACGCACCACGTATCGCAGCAGCAACATACCATCACTATCCAGAAGGCTGCAAAAGACTCCTTAGAGCAGACAGTGAAAACACTCAGGGAGGAAGTTGAGTCCTTCACGCTGCACAACAGGGAGTTTGAGACTGAGATTGACGGACTGAGAGAGGCTTTCGAGAAGCTTCTTAGGCAGAAAATTGTGTTGATCACAGACAGAGCGAGGAGTGGAAAGCGAGTCTATGATCCCACCTTTCTGCTGTATAAATACAGGCAGCGCTACCAGAAAGAGCGCCGTGTGCTGTGCCAAGCGGCACTCGTTGTGAAACAGCGCGAAGAGATCGAGGAGCTAAAGCTCCTGTTGGCACAGCGTCCAGATAACGTGGTGGTGAAGCTGATGAAGAGTCAGTGGGACAACAGAGAGCTCAAGAAGCAGCTCATGGCATTAAAGGGCGAAAAAGTCAAGTACGAGGTGACTTATCAGCGTGCCAGGGAAGAAAACAAAAAGGTCACAGAGGGCCTGAGTGAGATGAAGGTGGACGCTTGGCACAAGCTCAAAGCAGAGCACCAGGGTGAGTCTCCGCAATTATCGAGGCACACTCGGTTCCCTCTCTCTGCTGACAGGACCCCGTCTCAGTCTGAAGACAGGTCTAGTCGTGTGCCCGTCCTCCCTCCCCTCACCAAAACGACCCAGCCTTGTGTGAGAAAATTGGTGCCGTGCCCACCTCCACCCTCAACTCCAAAGTCTACACCTGACTTGAAGTTGCGCGTCAGAAGAGTGCTCCCGCCTCAAGCAACACCTGTCCGTAAGTGAATGTTTCAGACAACACAGTGACCCCTACCGGACAAATTAACACCGGACACCATGGATGGCTCCTACAGTGCTCACTAATTGACCCTTCGCTAAGTCCCGCCCCCAGACGCAGACTGGCTTTAGCTTCTAATATCTTTGTATTTTTAAGGTGTTGTTGCTGCTGAGTCAGTTTGACATCCTGGATATATCCTTCAAGCACATTTTGTAGATCCCTCTGTCTGCTTCTCTCTGGAATCACGATGTCATTTTTCCAAAAACATGATACCACTTTTTTCAGGGAGCGCAGTTAGTTACAGTGTGGGCTTGTCGGGCCATCACAAAGGGGCTTAGCAAAAGATCAATTCTCTGCTTTTCCACTCAGGTTTTTCTGTGTGCATTTTCAATTTGTGCACCAAAAACCCTGAGTGCAAACGCACCTACAGAAAGAGTCCTGGCCTCAAATCCATCTGGCTGCTGTCTCTCCGTGTGGAGTTTGCATGTTCTCCACTTGTTAGGTCGGGTTTTCTCCGGGATGCTCCGGTTCGCCCGATGACATGCAGGTTAGGTAATGGAGTAGCTGGGCTCAGCAGGTTAAGCAGGGCATCTACTGACCCCTGGCTTCTCCTGGCACTGAACCCCCAGCTGTTCCAACACCTAACTTTAGTAATAATAAAATAATTGCAATTGGAATTACTGCCTTATGGTTGTATGTCTCCATGCACAGTTTACATCAATGTCTGTGAAAACATGATGCTTCACAC